GCTACAGTCTAAGATCTTTTTATATGCAGACGATACGGTTCTACTATTACCATATGACATATACGAAAAAGCAATTCCGATATTTCAAAAGGACGTGGACATGTTATTGCAGTGGTTTTCTGACAATATTATTTCAGTAAATAACAACAAAACGAAACTTATGTGTTTCCGTAATCCCCATAAACAGGTGAAGCTTACGGCAGGCATTTATTTAAATTCAGGGCAAGGCAACTCTTGTAAAAGTATAGCACTTCCGTACGAACAGTCTGTAAAGTACTTAGGCGTATATTTTGATGAATATATTTTTTGGAACCATCACTTAGAATTTATTAAAAAAAAGGCTTCGCGTAGTATCAGCGTATCTTTACCGGTTAAAGAGCGTTTGTGGTGTAAACGTTCGTAAAACTTTTTATGGCCTTAGGAGAGTCAATCTTGCGATATGGTATTACTGTTTTCGGACAATGTGCAGGAAATAAAAAAACTAGGAATAGATAGACTACTTAAACAAATTGCGAGTAACGTTGCGTACGGAACCAGATATAATGACCTAGTAATAGGTATGAAATGAATGAACTAAATATAATGACTTTTCTAAACTGTATAAATATGTAATATTAACACGGCATTACCACGATAAAAGCTCGAAAATTGAGGTCAAAAAGAGAAATTTGAGGTGCACTGAAAGGTACGTAATACCCAGAATATTTACGAACTACGGAAAGAGAATAAAAAGGCATTATATTCCTTCCCTTTTTAATAAATTACCCGATAATTTGATTAGTATATCATCCATGCGAACGGCTAAGAAAGCTCTTAAAAAGTGGTGTCTAGAGTGTAAAATCTGATTTCCCTGTTGCTTAGTGTGTTTTTTCCTGAGTCATTTCTGCGTTTTTTCCTGAGCCATTCCTGAGTCATTTCTGAATTCCCAGTTGCTTAGTGTGTTTTTTCCTGAGTCATTTCTGTGTTTTTCCTGAGCCATTCCTGAGTCATTTCTGATTTCCCTGTTGCTTAGTGTGTTTTTTCCTGAGTCATTTCTGCGTTATGCGATGTTGATGTTCAATTGTTGTCTATTTTGGTATGTTTCACATGAGTCGTACAGTGTTTAGAATTTGTTAGTATTTCAGTGTTCGGCGATTTGTTTGATTTTCATATGGAGAGTAGTTTCATTTACATGGCGCAAATATTGCTGTGTTTTACAATTCTGTTTAATTTCTTTATTTATACTGCTACTTGCAATACTGTGTTCTATTCCTTTTATTTTGTAAAGATTTTGGTCTGCCTGGTCCCACGGACAAGCAATCTTCTTTGCTTTCGTGGGCCAGTTATTGTAAGTGTTTTCAAAGGAATAAAAGACTATTAATATTATTATTATTATTATTATCCACTCCTTCATTCGATCCTACCGAGAGTGATAGTGTATGCGCCTGCCGTTTGGTGCTTTTTTGATGTGGAAGAGGTTCATTTGTACTGAACCATTGAAGGCAAAGACTAATGAGATGGCGGAATAATCTTACATTTATAACATTTTCTTACCTTTTTTGTATTTTATTATTCCTTTTAACAGAATTTAATTTAAAAGGGAGACGGCAATGTGTGGGGAGGCTCCAGCCAGTGAAGGTAAAAAAAATACAGTTTTCAAGACGAACAGTCACAGCCTTGCGCGGCGACAACGACACACCTACAAATAAGCGGTGAAAACACCATATTCTTAACAGTCGACACTGTTGGTACAAATGAAACGATCGTAGAGCACATGATGAGCCTTTGCATCTACTCACGAAATTTTCCAATCAGAGCTCGGCGCTCTAAATGTCACGGCACGTCTTCATATCCTCCTCTCCCCTCAGTTTCTCACCGCATATGATTTTAGCATGTAAGTTTCGGGATCGATCGAGAAAGCGAAACCCGGCTTTTCGGCACGCACTAACAAACTACGCATCGCATAAAACTGAAACTCCATGAGAACGTGGCGCTAGCGGTGGTTATAAAATGCAAAAGTTTGAGCATATGACGTTACCTGGATCAAAACAATACAAAAAAAAAAAACATTTTTTTTTTTAAATCTCGAAATTTGAGATAGTGGGCACCTGTAGCCAAAACTTGTCAGCGGAACGAAAACAATATCGTCTTTCCAACTGACTTCTTTTTTCCTTTCTTTATTTTTTTTTCGCTGAAGGAAATGTTGCAGGCGTTCAGAATCTCAAATTTATATTTGATTAATATCAGGCTTAAGTGGGATGACGGCACATAAAAAAATTTTTTTTTTTCTATATTTTGATCTAGGCAACGTCATGCCCTCAAAATTTCGCATTTTTTCACCAACGCTAGAGTCGCATTCGCACAGAGTTTCCGTTTTCTGCCAGGCGTGGCTTTCATATCCGGGCCGGTAAACCGGGGGTAAACCGGGAAAGGGTTAGAGGCTTTTCTGCCTCTAACCCTTTCCGTTTTAAAGAAATAATTTCGAGCTTTTTGTTTTCGCTTCTGAAGGGTGTTTTACCAACAGCTGGCAACATTTTCTAAGAAAATGGCATTGGAAACAAAGATGTGATTCCTTCGGCATCGCGCTATCGACAGCGGTTGACTTCAGGCTACTGTTTGGAGTTTAGACGGATAATTAGCAAATTAATTACCTAAAATCTACTAATTAACTTCAGATATTCACCTTAGTCGGAACATTTCAAGTAGAACTGTGGTGCCTCTCCCAAAAATATGCCAGTTGTTAGAATTCATAAAAGTAAGCTATATTTTGTGCTATTCTCGTGCAAATGTTCGCCGTGATGAGACAGAAATTAAAACTGTACTCAAAATAGCGGCGGAAGTGCTACCGAGAAGCAACGGCAGCCTCCACGCCAGGCGCAGGTAGCGAGTCATTACGAGCCGATAAGGGTCACAGAGTCGTGAAGAGGCGACCCAATACTCTGCTGTTTCCTCTGGCGCGCAGCTTTGGGCGCTTTCTTTCACTGACGAGTTACACTGGTCGATTTGGAGCGCGCAGGGATCAGGACCAGATCCGAGATGGAGCACGTGATCCGAACGAAGTCACTCCGCCTCTGGATCCCCTATGGAACATGACCACTCCTCCGGGATCACCGTGGTCCCGGATCTCGAAGCACATGTTTTCGTAATCGCGGCGTTAACAACACGTGTTCAACGCACAAGCGAAGTTAATCATGATGTGAAAGATGCGCTTCGATTAGCAATGTACATCAGCGTAACCCAGTTGCCTCTCCATCGGAATACTCGTGAACGGTGTCCAGGTACGTCTCGATTTCCGGCCTCTTCTGCGGGGGTCCGAAAATCCAATCGAATACATGGGGGGCATACAAGCAATCCTCGAGCAGCTGCGGCTGGAGGAGCTGCTCGAGCAACTTGACGACAAACTGTCATCAAGCATGTGGGAGGAACTGGTCCCCTCCCCCGGGAAGGCGTAAGACGTAGATGTTCCGGGCGAAGTCACCTGCTTAGAACCATGTTCACTCCGTATCGCGTCGGGGAGAGTACGCCACCATGTTGGCCTACCCTCTCTCACTCCTCCGCGCGTCTCCCGTTTTCGGGGGAGAGAGAGAGAAATAATAAACTTTATTTTACAACTCAATTCCGAGGTGCTGTATTAATCTTCCCGGAAAGCTGAGGAGTCTTCTCCGTCTACCGGGTGTTGTGGAGGGGTGGTTGCCGGGCAGAAATGATCTCCCATATGTGTGCTTGGCTAGGAAAGGCCAGAGGGTTTTTTGGACGTCTTTTGGTGGGGTTACCCAGCTCGCCAGGAATAGAGGATGGTTGCAGGGAGGCGGTTACGTGGGAGGTAGGAAGATGAGGAAGTTGGCCCTGGGGAAAATCCAGTATGCGTTCTTATTGGGAGGGTATCCTCCGCAGACCTGGCATTTTGGTTGGTCGGGGCGCCCTAAGATGTAATGGTGAAAGAGGTTGCAGGGTAGAGAGCAGGTCTGCACCTGGCGTATGTAGATCGCGTCTGCTCTGGGAAGGAGCCTGGAGGGAGAAGGCAGGATACACCGTTGTCATCGTTGTTTGTATAGGTGACGCCTGCGTTCTCAGTGTTGTTCAGCGCGGTCTTCTCAGGGGTTATATATGCCAGGCCAGGGCGTAGGAGGGCCGGGGGATCGCTATCACGAGCCAGAGCGTGGTCACGCTCGTTCGCCTTTATTCCCTCGTGAACCGAGATCCACTCCAGTGTGACGGTGAGATGAGGGTGCGTTCTTACGTACTCGTAGAGCATGGTGTGAACATGGCCCGGTAGCCTCTGTGACTCGATTTTCCGAACGGGTCCTTGACTGTCGGTGCGCACAGTTGTAACAGGGGTGGAGCTGGTGCTTGTGGGGAGTGATGACCTCTGTGATGGCCTGAACCTCCGCTGCAGTTGGTGAAAGGACGTCCCAGTAGAGACGCGTCGACATGGAGCGGGGGCCCACAGCAGCCGTGACGACGTACAGCGGCGTTGCGCTTTTACGTCAGTGTGATACGTGTCAGTGCGAGGCGAGGGTATTGCTAGATGTGTGGCCCTGTCCTGTCAGCATTGCTGGTCCACCTCGGGATTCATGTGTTTAGGTATGGGGAGGACAGTGATTCGGGGTATGCTGTCCCATGGAGGGGGTCCTTGAGGAATTTGGGATAGGTGGTCCGCTGGGTGACCAAAAAGTTCGAGAAGAGCCTTTCCTTGTTTCGAAGTGGTCAGTCTGTGAACCTGGTCTCTGTGGTGAACTTTTGTACGCTCTTCGAGGGTATTGAAGACTGCGTTGTCCTCGAGTTTGCAATTTGGCGCTTAAATGGGAACTCCAAGTGCCGTGCGGGTGCATTTGCGTAGGGCTGCTTCTATCTTGCATCGTTGGGTAACGATTAATCGTTGGTAGGGGTATGCGTACATGAGACGTATACCATGGCCTCGATTACTTATCGAAGCTCATGTTCTCTAGACCCTTGTGTTGTCTCGTGATCCGTCGTATCACGTGGTGAACTTGTTCAATTTGTTTGAGGGTGGTAGAGACTTATACTGTGCTGCGACCGTCCTGCTGGAGGATGAAGTCGAGAACCTTAATGTGGGGACGGCGAGGTACAGGGTCCTGACCTAGACGGAGCTTGATGAGGTTCCTGTACACACCGGCTCGTTTGGTGTTGTCGTTGACGACGACGGTGAACTCTGTTTTTTCCGGAGAGCAGGTGAGTCGGATACTTGTCACGTAGGCGTTGATTACATCGAGGCCACTCTGGAGAACGGACTCTTGTTCTCCTGGGCTCCCGGTCATGCACCAGAGAGTGACGTCATTCACGTAGATGGAATGCTGAAGACAGGGGATTTCCACCAGTTTTCTAGGGAGGTTCTTTATAGCGAGATTGAAAAGGGTCAGGGAGAGTATGGAACCTTCGCCAGCGAGATCGCGCGGGAGGGTCTGGTCGAGGCGCCCTGGATTGGACTCCGGGCGACGGGTCGAGTCGCGGCGTGAGCTCGTCCGACCGGCGATGACTCAACGCTATAGCGTTTCCCCTGGCTCTGACAGTCGGCGTCCCCTCCTCCTAGTGGACGTCCATCTGCCAAAAGCCTTGGCCCGAACTTCTGCGACGACGTGTAGCGGCGTGAGCTCGGTCCACCGGCGATGACTCCGCTCGCAATTACCCCTTAGGCTCTCAGGTCGGCGGGCGCTGCGGGCACTCTGTGCCCAAGGCTCGCTTGACCTCAGTGTCTAGTGGGGGACCCCTGGTTCTCAATAAACGCTGTTGGATACCGGGATCATCGTTGTTGGCATGGCGTTGACGAACCCGGCGCGGTGACCGCCCTCGGTGATAGCCATCAGTTGCGCGGTGGGACAGGCATCGGGTTCCCCCTTTGACCACTGGTCCCCGGACGCAAAGGTACATAATCATCCTCCCTCTCTCCCCCCCCCCCCCCCTCCTAAGCAGCAGCAGCAGTAAAGCGGGCGGCACTTCGCGAGCGGCCATTACGAATTTTTACGAGCCGAGATGCCCGGCGATAAAGGACGTCGCGTGTTCCCGCCGAGGGCTGCCCAGGCTGGCTTCCGGTCGAATCCGCTGAAATCGGCGGAGCGACTTTTCTGGGATCCGGATCGAGGTCGAGAGTGGGAGCTGATCTACAACAAAAATGGAACACGTTCGTCTCGATCCCGATCGCCCTGTGAAATAAGCGCGCTTCAAAACGACCAGTGGAATTCGCCATTTTCTTCAGCTATGGAGTCAAATTTGGTACGGGAGCGCATGCTTTGTGAACCCTTTTACTATTTACAAACATAAACCGCTGCTTGCGTCCGAAGCAACTTCCGATCAATCCGTCTGTGCAAGCCTCCTGCCGTGTTTTCTTATGTCACCAGTGCTAGTAAGCATGCATGTTACACGGACAACAAAGTTGAAGATTTAGCGAGGGCCTTCGGCAATGCAATTCAACGTGTCGGAGAAGACGAGTTGGTCAAGAATATTCGAAGAATGTGAACAGATCACGCGTTTTTGGGTTCTTTTGGCGTTCGCCTGGACAGTTGGTGGTTAAATGTTTGATCGACGTTTCAAGCATCCGTCTTAAGGTGACCTTTGTTCGTTATTTTTATGAACCGGAAATTCCCTAAACGTCAAAGACTAGAGCACCGCATGGTGGCGTTTGCAAAGAAAAGGATCTATACAGCTGAGCCTTAGCCTTCTGTAGGCTGATAATGCCTGTCTAAGCGCCAGTTGTCCGCTATCACCACAAGGGTGTACCGCTTCCTCATACAAGGCAGAAAACCTGAACGCGTTCTTACATTCTTTATGCTATTTTGTGTATTAGGCGTGGTAGCTGTGGATCGCACTTAGGCAATTAGTTCGTTTTTATTTTAACCACGTTCTTGCCGCGTTTTAGGCGGACTCGCAAACGAAGGTGCTAGGGCTGTCATTTTCCGGGACCCCAAGCAACACCCGGGACTATGAAAAATGGCGAATCTCATTCTGATAAAAGGCTGCGTCCCAAATTCTACCTCCTACTGCTCGAGGGTATTAAGGTGGCACCCTTTTGCGACAGTCATTAAGGGCGACCTCTCTAGGCGGGCCTTCCTTAGCGTCTGCTTGAGTGAAGCCTCAGCATTATGCTGAGGTTTTACTGAAAACCAGCTTGGTTAGAACCTTTCTGTTGTTAAAGTTGGATTAGCCCCTGTACCCTTCCACTGCCTCTTTGCGTGCTGCTTGACTGGCTGATCTGCCCAGCTCTCTCGCTCGCTCGCTCTGTCTCTCTCTCTCTCACACACACACACACACACACACACACACACACACATCAAGGTGCCTGACGACAGGCACAGTACGTTGCGCCCGGCACTGCTAACACCTTACACACTGCTTAGGGAACTCCGTAGCTGTTGTAACTACATAGGACCCTGGCCGTTGCAATTTCTCTCCACATTCTGATATTCGCCTGATTTTTGGTTTCAGCAATAAAAATTCAGTGTTCGCTATTTCGACATTGTGAATGCTTACTGGCACTTCCGTCTGGCCTGTAATTTACTGGCACTACCGTCCCCAGCTTTATTCACTTTTGGAAACCATATATGTTGCTGCTCACGAGCTATGAAATACGCGTTCCGAAAGTATTGGAATAGACCGATCTACACCAGCCAGTTTGACTACGCCACCGCTGTCGCAATGCATCGAGGGAGCTTTAGTCTTTCTGCACGTGCGGACCCTCACTGGAGCTCTGCGCGTGCTCCACACGCGCAGAGCACGTGCTCTGCGTGGCGCTCTGCGTGGAGCACGCGCAGAGCACGTGGAGCACGCGCTTAAAAACCCTGAGCAATAGGACAGACATAACAATAAAACCAGCCGATAAAGGAGGAGCAATTGTGATTCTTAGCGCTTCTGAATACATCCGAGAAGGAAACCACCAACTAAATGACTCAAAGTTTTATGAACCTCTCGCAGATGACCCTAGGATGCACCACTCAGATTGTGGCCTTGGTCCTTAAGGATCTCCTAGACGAGGGCAGAATAACCACTAACGAACATAAATTAATGAAACCGGTACAGCCTTCCCCCGGCCGCTTCTACATGCTCCCTAAGATTCACAAACCTGGTAACCCAGGGCGCCCAATCATATCCGGAATAGGTACAGTAACCGAACCCATATTAGGATATGTAGACAGTTTAATTAAACATATACCTTCAAGACCCGATTCGTACATTAAAGTACAACTCGCTTTTTAAGGGAAATATCACATTTATGCATACCAAAAGAATCATATCTGGTTACACTCGATGTGTCATCGCTGTATTCGAATATCCCACACGATGATGGAATCATTTCTTTAATTGACATGTACGAACTCCACAAACAACCGGATACCCCACATGAACACCTTGTCGTTACTCTAGCGAGGCTTGTCTTAGAACTCAACACGTTCGAATTTAACAATAAATACTTCGGGCAGGTTAGCGGAACCGCGATGGGCACCAAAATGAACCCGAACTATGCCAACGTATTCATGGGGAAATTAGAATCTCAGTTCCTTTCTGAATGTCCCGTAAAGCCGCTAATATACAAAAGGTATATAGATTATATGTTTATTGTCTGGTCGCACACTGAGGAGGAGCTGCTGGACTTCATAGGTCGATACAACGCTGCTCATCCGAGCATCCGATTTACACATTCGTACTCTCAAACCGAAGTAAACTTCTTAGACGTCAAAGTTAAAATAGACGAAGGTAAACTCGCCACGAGCCTGTACCGTAAGCCAACAGATCGACAGCAATACCTGCATTATCAAAGCGACCACCCACACCATTGCAAGAACAGCATTCCCTATAGCCAAGCTCATCGCTTCAAACGAATTTGTTCCAAAGAGACAGATTTTGATGCGAGCAGCCAAAATTTAAAGTCAGTGCTAGAGAAACAAAAGTATCCACCCCGTATAATCGACGATGCAATCAGAAAAGCGCAAGCAACTGAACCGAGCAGACCTTATTAGCCCACGCCCCACGCAAAGCGACACACAACGCACAAATCTATATCTAACTTATAGAATGAACCATCCTAATGTAAATAATATCTTAAGACGACATTATAACATTCTCGAACAAAGCGAGCGCCTTAAACGCGCGTTTCCATCCGTCCCTAGTCCACAGACGATCGCGTAACCTCAAAGACGCGCTAGTAAACTCTCGGATAAATTCATCGCCACCACCTAACGAATGTAGGCCTTGCATGCAACCAGGATGTCTGATCTGTAAACAGATGCAGCACACAAACACGGCCAGCAGCACGCACTCGCAGTTCTCGATCAAAATTAAAGGGCACTTAACATGTGCCTCGTCGAATGTCGTGTACTTATTCGAGTGTACGGTATGCAAAATGCAATACATAGGGCAGACTAGAAATAGGGCAGACTAGAACGTCATTTAGATTGCGCTTTAAAAATCACAAATCTCACGCCATAAATCTTCCGACACTGCCTCTATCCAAACATCTCGCTCTCCCAGAACACTCGTTTGGTAAATTGTCAGTGACGCTCCTAGAATCTGGATTTAAATCAAATCGCGAACGTGAACAGTGTGAATCCTGCCTAATTTACCGATTCAACGCTATTAAACAAGGAATAAATGAAAGCCCCGGTACTCTGGCATTGATTAAAATGTTAACAGACGAATAGCAACCGCGATCAGGGGACATCTTTTCAGGTCCCAGACCTTATTGCTAGCAGTGGTACTGTGTTTGTGGCCGGAACTGGACCATCAACTTTTCTCTTTTATTTCCAGGTTTTGACATTCATTTCCATTCTTTTTATTTCTAGGTTTAACATTGTTCCCTTCCAGGTCTAACTCATGCATGCCCCACAAAACAACACAAACGACAGTGGCGTTTTTTTGTTTTCTTTTATTTTTTTTTTTTTTATTTTGAGACAGCATTTTAGATTGCGCCTGTATCTTTTGTCTATTGTACGCTACCGTCCAGGTCACCCCTGTCCGCCCGGTCACAAAGTCACCCTGCGTCCCCTCTCAAGAACCTACAACCGTCATCCCACCGTCCTTGAAACTTGGCCCCGACCGTCAACCTTCTTCACCCGGATACGAACTGCCCTACGCTTCCCTCTCACGAAAGCTCCAACCGTTACCCCGCCGAAATTTGGACCCGACCGTAGCAAGCATTGTATAAACGTTTGCCCATCTGGAACTCTTCCCACGCTTCTTTCGAAACTCCGTCATCCCGCCGTTTTTGAAACTTGAGCTCGACCGTAGCATTGTATAAATACCACCCGGGTTCATCTGTAAAAGTATTTCCTGACGAAGGCCGGACTTCGGCCGAAACGTCGAAGAA